CTGTGCTAAAACCCTGGTATGGTGCCTAAGTTTCAGGGCAGGTCGATTTTATGAGGGCCTGAAAATGGCCCTTGTTTTCAGGCTTTTAGGCTGAATCACACGGGGCCTGTAGCTGTCTCTTATACACATCTAGATGTGTATAAGAGACAGGTGGAATGCCTCAGGGCCTCGCCAGGCCACACCCAGACCCAAGCCAAAGAGGGGAAAAAGACCCCAGCCAAAGGTTCAGGGCTTGAGCGAGCGACAGTTGACCAAAGTCAACTGCCTGACGCCCAACAGTTAAAGTCAAAGTGTACCCAGCCCAGGCCGCCGGTCGGACACACACACTTGTTTGTATGCAGGTACCCAGACAACATCATGACCAAAGGGAAGTCTGCAACTGTATACAATCCAGGCCCTCGACTGTGAGTCAATCGGTACGACTGTGGGAAGGAGACCCGAGGCCAGACTGCTCGTCAAACACTACATAAGGCTTGGTCTCCAGGAGGTCAACATTCAGTCTTGCTACGCTGCCTCGACGCTGGCTTGACTCTAGCTGGAAGCTGGCTTGATGCTGGCTGGATGCTGGCTCGGTGTTGGCTGGACGCTGGCTGTGCGCAGGTACTGTGGACGACGATGTGGGACTGTGGCAGCATGCTGGCGCCTTCTCTGCTGAGCGCCTGCCTCTGCTGATGTGGCGCATGCCACCTATTTTCATTGCTGATGTGGCGCATGCCACCTATTTTCATTGCTGATGTGGGGCATGCCACCTGTGCAATGACTTGCTGGTTTTGTTGACATGTAGCCCTTCGAGTCGAGGCTGTACCATAGGTAGGTCAGATTCGTAATTTTGTTTGGTTGAGGGCTAACCGCAACATCTGACTGTAAAGAAATTCGTGAAGGGACATATCTGCAATGAACCCCAGACTGGAAGGTACTCGTCAGACGTCGAAGTACAGGTAGACTCAGATCTGCACAATGTCTCCAGTTAACGTGAAAGTGATATCTGATACAGTATCTCGTTAC